GGGAAAAATTGGAATTTCGGGGTAAAGGATGGGAAATTGAGGGAAAAAATGGGAATTCTGGGGGAAAAAATGGAAATTTTGGGGGGAAAAATGTGGATTTTGGGGTAAAAGATGGGAAGTTGGGGGGAAATAGGAATTTGGGGGGGAGAAGTGGGAATTTGGGGGGGAAAAATGGGAATTTGGGGGGGAAAAATGGGAATTTTGTGAGAAAGAATGGGAATTTGGGGAAAAATGGGCATTAGGGAGAAAAAATGGGAAGTTTGGAGGAAAAAAATGGGAATTTTGGGGGAAAAACAGGAATTTGTGGAGAAAATGGAAATTTTTGGGGGGAAAAAATGTGGATTTTGGAGAAAAAAATGGGAAGTTGGGGGGAAATAAGAATTTGGGGGGGAAAATGGGAATTGTGAGGGAAAAAAACAGGAGATTTGGGAGAAAAAGTGGGAATTTGGGGGGAAAAAATGGGAATTTGAAAAAGAAAAACAGGAAATCTGAGGGAAAGATGGGAATTTGAGGGAAAAAACAGGAATTCTGGCATCCCCCAGCACCCCAGAACCCCCCAAATTCCAAAATCCCAAAATTCCAAATCCCAAAATCCCAAATCCCAAAATCCCAAATCCCAAATCCCAAATCCCAAAATTCCAAAATCCCAAAATCCCAAATCCCAAAATCCCAAATCCCAAATCCCAAAATTCAAAATCCCAAAATCCCAAAATCCCAAAATCCCAAATCCCAAATCCCAAAATCCCAAATCCCAAATCCCAAATCCCAAAATCCCAAAAAAAACCCCGGAATTCCCCAAAACTCCCCCAGAAATTCCCGGGATTTGGGGAAATTCCCCCCCAAAAAATTCCCCGGAATTCCCCAAAACTCCCCGGGAGTTCCGGAATTCCCGGAATTCCCGGAATTCCCGGAATTCCCGGATTTCCCGCACTTGTTGAGCCAGATGACGGCGTTCAGGTCCAGGTGATTGGTGGGCTCGTCCAACATCAACAGCGTCGGCTCCAGGAACAGAGCCCTGCGGAGACACACCTGGATGGGGCTGGGCACACCTGGCCACACCTGGCCACACCTGGGGACACCTGGGGACACCTGGGGACAGCTGGGGACACCTGGAGACACCTGGGAATACACCTGGGCACACCTGGGAACACCTGGATGGGGCTGGGCACACCTGGCCACACCTGGAGACACCTGGGAACACCTGGGGACAGCTGGGAATACACCTGGGGACAGCTGGGGACACCTGGGGACACCTGGAGACACACCTGGATGGGGCTGGGAACACCTGGGGACACCTGAGAATACACCTGGGGACAGCTGGATACACCTGGGGACACCTGGGAACACCTGGGGACACACCTGGATACACCTGAATACAGCTGGACACACCTGGGGACACCTGGGGACAGCTGGGGACACCTGAGCCCACCCAAAGCCCCGCCATTCCTCCCCCA